TGGAAGAATGTTAAAATAACCAGCTGTACCTGCATGTGATTGAATTCACCTGAAATTAGCAGGCATTGACCTACTCCTCAGTAAACTTGCTATGGTTTCAAATAGGAATCTCAAAGCAGGCCAAAGCTGACAGACTTTCTGTCTGTGCAACAGGCAAAGTCAGTCCTGAGGAGCTCCAATGAACCTCCACCAGGGTGTGAAAGACATAAGCTGTGAATGGTTTGGAAGCAGATGGTCAGACACTGATCAGGTACATAATCACAGGCACCAATCTGAGGAGAGCAGTTTCTCAAAGCTCCCTGTGTAGCCTGTAAAGAATGATACCTCTGGTCCTTCAGAGCAGCTCCAAATGCTCAGCCTCAGGTCTACATCATGGTCAAGGAGAGCTGAGCTCTCTGCACTGATTAGGGAGGGAACCAGGGAAAATCAGCCTTCCCTTGTATAAACCATCTGACATGACTCTCTCACTTATGAGACAAAAAGTGTATTTCTGTCCCTCTTGTTCACATGCACTCCTTATGCTGCCAGGTGGAGTTTGGTCTCCATGCTGGGGAAGAAATATCCAGTCTACACAGGTAAGAGAAGTGCTGGCTGGAGGATCAAAGCTAAGCACGTCCATTCAAAGCACTCCAAACAGAAACAGAGAATGGTGGTTCTCCAAGAGGTTTTATTATTGTGTTTCCTTTGTGCAGTTTAGTGGAAACAGACAACAGGAGTTGTTTGAAATAAAGTTTTAATTTATTATCCTAACATGCTGAGAAGCAATTAGAATCAAGTTAATTACTGTAAATAGTTATTATAATTACTTGTAAAGCATTCGACTACCTGTACATCTGTTAAGTCAGTGGAGACCTGCACTTTTTTTTTATTTTAAGAGAAGGCTTAATGCTATTACTTAAGGGCCAAACTATTTTTGTGAGCTCTTCAAAAACAAGTAGCTATACCATAGACACTAGTGATGGAGAGCACCTGTTGGGGCATGTATGCCCTTGACAAGACTGAGTGGATGTATCAGCAAACTCTCTGAAGAATTGTCTAGTCTAGCTTATATTTACAGAACCTTAAAGCACTTTCCTCAAAAGAAAAAAGAAATAAGGAAAAAAATTACAGCTGAATACTAATTTTCTTAGATTTGTTTTATTTATCAGGTTTCTATTCCTACTTGCAGCATGAAGAAAATATTGTTCTTAATATCTTTTTATCAAGGACAGTATTTCTTTCTGTGACACTGGACAGTCTGGCCTGGCCTGATGCACAGTTTTATACCACATTTTGACAGGCACAGAAAGCAGTTGGAGTTCCACCACTTCTGTGCCCTCACACACACAGCTGTCGGTTCTTCCTCTTCACACAGCTCTTCCAACTCTTTTTCTGAACTTGGCCCAGCTGTCTCTAGTTTGGACTGTTTTTGCAGCAGCTGATGGTTGCTGAGCCCATCCTGGTCTGCTGTTTGGGTTCTGGCTCACCTCAAACAGGTCTCCTGATGTCTGGGGGCAATTCCAACAAGCAAACACAGATCACATTAGTTTGTCTAAGCATACAGTAATGTGTTAGAATTTTTTTCAACAACACTTGACTTCCACAAGTGGACCAGTGTTTCCCACACAAAATACACACCTTTACCAAAAAACCCAAAATCCAAATACAGGAATGTGTTGTTGTGTTGTCCTATTATTGATGAGCTTCATCTCAGCTCTAACATCACAACTACAGAAAGGACAATTTGTAACAAAGGACAGGGAAGTGTAGGGGACCTGACAACAGAAAGGTTGAGAGCTAGTCTCTGAATATTGGAATGTGAAAGAGGAATTAGAAGCCAGTCTTTTACCCTCCTAAGTCTGATATTTTATTAGCTCACTCCTGCTCTGGGAGGGCATTTCCTTGAATGCCTTTGCCTTTCATCTTGTAGTAACGTAAAGCAGCTTTACACAGGACTTGTGCAGTTGATTGAAATGCTGCCAAGAGCCTCTGCAGCTGATAGGAGAACTGCCATAAGCCAAGGTGATGGCCACAGGCTGCTCCCTCCGATGGGATCTCACAGCTCACAGACTGTCCCACAGGCCTGCTGCATTTTTCCAATGACATCACCCAAATGTTTATAGATCGACCTCAAACTGGATATTCAGCTAGTGTACCAACAGAGGTGTACCTCCAAAAGGTAAGGGAAAGAAGAAGTGGAAAGCAAAGGAAAAAAACCCTAAAATATGTGCATTTCTTTAAAAAAGTTTTGAAGTAGTTTCATATAAGAAAACTCCTTTCTTACAGTTTTCCCTTTGAAATACTGGTGTCTTGCAATCCCAACATATAAAAACATTTCCTTTTTTAAAAACTGACATATGGCAAAAATTGGTAGCAGTAAATAAACGCACATAAAGCTAAATTGTGCCATCCTAAACGTTAGTAAAAATGACAAAATAAAATACTATCTATATAAACTACGCACAGGTGTGTAGCACATTACAAGCAAAAAACATATCTTGCAATTATAAGCCCACAGTATTTATTTCAGTTGTCTGTAATTACATTTTTTATATGTTTGTTTAGTAATATCAATCCAAGACATCATTTTGAGGATATAATTAACTGCATGTTAGAACAGGATGTGTTAGACTGTTTTTGTGTGTTGAAAGAGACAAAAATCTTTGTTAGCTGTGTTCAAGTGCCATCTAGTGTCCCAATCCACCAATTTCAATCAGAAAAGCCTCAAAGCTTTCAGAGCAAAATCAAGTTAAGGTTAAAGAAGAGCAAGGGTCACAATGTTCCCATTTCAGTGCTAACATCAAGTCTTTCATCCATATGGACAGTAAATACAGATCTCCAGGTCCCACTGGCAGGCATCTAGTTTTTCAAATTTTTATAGCAGTGATCCAACAGTAAACTCGCATAGAAGTATCTAATGAAGACAGAATCTGGGTGGAAAAAAGGCTTTTAAAGGTGGGGTTTTTTTTTGAAAGATCCACAATATAACTGGAAGCTGAGGCAGGGGCACACACGACATGACACACCTGTAACAGCAGGACACGCCACAGCGAGGTGCCAGTGCATTCAGAGAAAGCCTTTCCCCACGTTCAGGACTTCCTCCCCCAGCTCTGTACGCTGACCACGACACCGTGCGGTCTGGAATGTCACCTGGATGGGTCTGGAATGTCACCCGGATCCTTAGGACCAGCTGTCCTGGCTGTGTCCCCCCCATCACCCTGTGCACTCCCACAAGATGGGCTAGAAGAGGCCTTGAATCTGTGTAAGCCCTGACCAGCAGAAATAAAAACATCCATGAGTTATCAGCTCTGTTTCCAGCACAAATTCAAAACACAGCCCCAGATCAGATACTGAAGAAAATTAATTCCACCCCAGCCCAAACCAGCACGTGGGGATTTCTAGATATTTCCAGCACAGTATTTTTTTTTCAATAAGTCTAAAGCTTATGTTTTTGACAACTTCAGAACCAATCTAGGTTAAAACAAGAGTTTATAGCTCAGTAGCTATGAACTTCACCCACTGTCACATAAGAAATTAGCCATTAGAAAATTATGTCTTCCATCCTGTCTCTGTTTCCACAATACTGAACAATTGATAGTATCTGTAATTTTAGTAAAATGCTCTTGGCATTCTCGTCACAAATGGCATCTGTAATGGTCTATGTAAACCAAACTTCAGTTTGTCTCTTTTCTTCCTGAAATTCATTAAATGCTACAAAGAAAGAAAGATCACAGCCATTACAGAGAGCTGGCGTAGCTCAAAGTAAAATATGCAAAACACTTGGGCTTTCTGGTGCAGTTAGTGTGACCATAACAATTAGCTTTTTGCGCCATTAGAAATGAGAACTGACTCCTATGCCTCTGTGACATTTATTGGAAAGTCTTGTCTTTAAATCACAGTGATAAAAAGAAATTAAAATAACTTTTTAAGTACCATTTATCCTGACTGCTACAATAAGCAAGGGTAAGTTGACAAGTGCATTAAAGAACTTCTGCTTATGTCATGATGTGAATTAGTGTGAATTTGTTGCAGAAATATAAAATGGGAAAAAAATAGAAAATATAAAGGTATGAAAAACCACAAGAAACAGCTTCTGATCAGCAGTAAGAAAGGCTTGTGATGAGGTGTCAAACTAGGATGAGAGAATACTTAGATGGAAAACATTTAGGCAAGAAAAGCACTTTCAGAGCAGCTTTAGAAATCTACAGCTGCACATGTGCATAAATCTATTGGGCACCAATGAAATTAATAAAAAATATGTTTCAGCTTTATCTAGCTTGGAATTTGTTTGTGTTTTCTGTGAAGGACAAAACATTTACAGAAAACAAAAAAGGTGGATGAATTGTGGTTTTTCATTTGGAGTATATTTTGATGTAAGTTTGCGTATAAAGGACTAGATTCACCTCAGCCTTGAGGCCGGGAAGGAACTCGGGTCTGACACACGGGCAGGATCGCATCAGAAGGTTTGGAAACCATATGGAGAACGGGGCTGGCACTGCCGGGCGCTCTCCCGGGTGGGACACGGAAAGCTGTGCCTGGCACAGAGGGAGGAACACTTGTTTTAAACACAAATCCCGGCAGGAGCTCCTGGGGCCCGGGCAGCCAGCCCCGTGAGGGGAGCGCGGGCACGCGGCACCCGCCCCCCCGCGCGCCTCTCCCCGCGCTCCCGCCCCGGGCCGTGATTGGCCCCGCGCCCTCTCCCTCCTCCAATCCCAGGGGCGGAGCCCGTTCCCGCCCCCGCTGATCCCGCCCACCGAAGCGACAGCTCGGCTCCGCCTTTCCGGCCGTCTCCATGGCAGCGAGGGCGGGGGGTTTTAAGACGTCCCGGGGACCATTGCGGTTGGTTGCTTTGCTTTTCGAAGCCGGCGAGGCTAAAGGTAAACTAGCTAGTGTATTTGGTATTTTTTTTTTTATTTCCTGACTTATTCTCCCGTAATCACACGGGATGGTACCTTTCAAAGAGATCGTAAATCCATCCTCTCCCCCCCTTTCCCAGTGGTAGGGCGCAGGCGGTGCGCGGCCCCGCTGCGGCCGTGGCGCTCCCGCCCTGCTGGGGCCGCGGCCTGAGGCGGAGCGGCCCTGGGCCGGGGGTGCAGGTGCCGTGCTCGGCCCGAGGGCCTTCCCTGGGGCTACTGGAGATCCGGGGACTGCCCGCCGAGGTTCGTCCCGGGCTGCCTCAGGCCTTGGCATCTGCCCAGGGCAGCGGGCGGAGGATGCTCAGGCTGCTGCCGGTTTGTCACGCACGACGGTGCTGGTTGGTCGCTCCTGTTGTAAGCTGTGGGCGCCCTTAAAGACAGGAGGTACGGGCGGCGGGGTGCTCTGGCTTCTCCTGTCGCCGGTAAAGGTGTGCCCCGGCTGAAGGAAGGAGCGCTGCATGGATGTGCTCCGTGTTGAACGAGGTGAAGCAAGGCCAGGCGGACAGAGGTGTTTTCAGTGTGATAAAACATCCCTCCCTAGAAGATGCACCCCAGCGTCAGCAGAGGCCTCGTGTAAACCGCTGGTTCCAGAGTTAGGTGTGACACATGACAGCGAGGAGGCCTTACCTAATGTTATCTTGATGAGCTCTTTCAGTTTTCCCACCCTTTGACATTATCAACACGTGACAAGTTATTTAATTTTACTTAAAGTGAAAACGCATTCACCTCTGAGGTGAAAAAAAATAGCCAAAACATTTTCAGTCTTCTGAAAAGTGCTGTAGGGTCTTTATTTGCATCAGTGGGCAGCTGATCTCCTTAATAGCGCAGAAAAAAATCCATTAAGTTCTAAACAATTTAAACATAGCTTCCTATGAACATTTCCCTGTATCTGTGAGAAGTAGTTTACAAGTATAACTGTGTTCAGTGTAACGTGATAAAAGCCAGAATCAGTAATGTAAACAGTAGTAGACAATTTATGTAAGCACTAAGTGTGTGTGTGGTTATAAGCATCTGAAACTCGAGAAAACTCAAGTGCTGAATCTGAAACTGAAACAAATTTGGTTTTCATAAATTATTAGAAGCAGTAGTATTTTCCTAAAACATATTGTGAACATTAGTAGTGTGAATGTATTCAAAGCAAATTGTAGCAATGCCTTGTGGCAGGTTTTGTGTAGATAGCTGACATGTATAATGTGTGCAGCTTTTTAACCAGAATTGTTTAATACTGGAAAGTGTACATTAATGTAAGTCTGTAGAAGATTTTAATTTCACTCGGCTTTTCTTTTATAGAGTACAAAACTGGGGCAAACAACTGAAGATGTCATCCTGTTTGGCTCAGGAGGTTCACCTGGCTAGAAGACATGAGGAGATGTGAGTAGTTGTGCTCTGCCTCGCAGCAGTTTGTGTTGGGTCTTGTGATACTCCCCCTCCCTGCCCACGACCCTCGGTGCCAGTGAGTCTGAGCTCTGCACAGCACAGTGGTGCTGCAGCAAGGGGCTGGAGTTCCAGGAGGTGGCACTCTTCCTTCAGGAACCATGGGAATCAGCATCCTGGCCTGACATTTAGGGTATTTAGGTTGATGAGGTTTTTGACTTCCAATGGTGGTACTGGTTTAAGATCTCCATTGTCAACCTGTCACTGTTAAATTCCTGTTTGGTGGAGGTAATTGGAGCTCTCACTCAATGCCTCAATTATAAAGTTGCTTCTTTGTTGCCCTGTAAACTGAAATTGTGAGGCAAATACAGTAGTGATTCAGGAAAATTTGCTTTTCTTGTAACAGCTAGCACATGCCAATGAGCAAATGTGGTACTGATCAAGTCACCCCAACCCACCCTGTCTTTCCTTCTTGGGGGAGATTCAGTGCTTCTAAGCACCTCAGCATTTGAGGACTGCTGGTTGCAACGTTTTAGCTTGGTACAAGCACAGCAGGTGATGCCTGCCTGTACCTTTTCCCTCCCCCAGCACACCCACCCTGCAGCCGGCTTAATTAGCCCCATCGTTTTGAGAAAACTGGGTAAGGTAAAAAGGTTATTTTCCAGCTCCTGAGCAAAATGTTCTACCCACTTAGCAAAATGTTTTCCTTTGTAGACTGTCTCAGAGATCAGAGCTGCTACAGCAGATGGAGACTTATCTAAGAGACAAAAAGACTAAAAAGACATGGCAAACTCAAGCAGCTGATGCAGCTCATAAAAGGAATGCAGCACTTTTAAATGTAAGTTTCTGCAACTACCAGGAACCGTATCAAAATGTCACGGTTATGTAGCTTAGATAATTAAAAAAAAAAAAAAAAAAAAAAGAGAGAAGTGTTTGCTCTATAGTTGTCATTTGAATCCTCTTCTATATGGTTCCCTCTTCTGGAACTGGACCAAAAAGTATTAAATGACAAGTCTTTATTATCCGATGGCATCACTACCTGTTTCCCGTGCCCTTCTTACAAAAGCCTCGTGGTGGCAGCTGCTACTATGTATTTTTATTTTTTTTCAGCACATGTAGTGATGTAACACATGCTAGTACATGTCTGCCTGAGAGAACTCGGGGGTCTGTCAGGACTCACAGCCCCTCTGTGCTGCGGGTGTGGTTGGAAATGGGCTGACCAGGCTACAGGGCTTTGGGCCAAGGGTAGGAACTGGTCTCCTGCTGTGGTTGTGATAAGTTGTGGAAGAGGTTCTCAGTTTAATATTTTTCTCTAAAGAGGTGTAGAGTGACTTCAAGCATTTTGCTTGCACGTCTGTAAAAGCAGTGTTTGGTGTTTGCAGCCCTTCACTGGGGTTACACCATTAATAATGTTCATAGCTGTTCTGCATACCTGTTGTAATATTCAGGTAAGATTTGTTTCCTAGGCAATTAAAAAGATCTAAGTTTGATGGCAGGGACTGAAATACTCCTCTGGAACCCCTAGCTCAGGCGTCTGAGTTTGAAGAGATGCACTTGACCACTGACATGATGCATTTGAAAAATGTGTGTCAGTTTTTCAGGAGGCAGCAGAAAACTGAACCTACTGTGCCTTTTCTTTAAGCTCCTACTTATTAAGGGTCCATAATACATGTGTTGTGTTTATTGAAAAAGTAGTTTTATTCTAGAAAATTACAAAATTAATTCGTGTCACCAGAATTTCTTTGGTTTTTTTTCTTGCAGAGCCTGGTTCGGATTTAAAACGTTCATATTTTGGATGGGTATAATCCTGTTGCATTAGAGTGTGTATTTAAAAGAGAGGTTTATTTAGAGGGGGAAGACAAGAAGAACAGTTAGCCAGGAATCCCTTCGTAACTATTCTGTGACAAAGAAGATTTTTCAGCTTGGGCTGGTGAACTGGTACATTCTGGACAGGGGCAATCAAGCCCCTCTTTATTTGATATACCAAGTGTAGGTTCTTCAGTGAGAGGCTGAGGATAAATTGATGGTTTGGTTATTTTTTTTCCCTAGCTCCTGCTCTGTTGATTTCATAATTTCAGCCATTATGACTCCTATTTTCCATAGGCATTTTAGGTTAGATTTTTCCTTCGTAAATATAGGGCTTTATAAATTATTTGTGTTTATGAATGCATTCTCATTTGACATACACAGGCAAACACAATAAATGCAGAGTATATTTCTCCATCCTGAAAGCTATATTGTAGTGTAAATGGTAACAATAGCTCAGACATATACAGAGTGTAAATATTTCTGCAGTTAAACAGATATTTGCTATCTTCTGTCACATCCTCAAAATTGTTCCTTTCAAGTGTCAAAAATGTTGGTGTTTGTACAGAAAAAAAGCAAAAACATATGTATCAAAACAAATTCTGTTGCAGGATAAAATAGCATAAATCAATTTAAATCTATTAATTTTATCCTAGTTTTAACAAGCATGCACTCCTGCAGATGCTTTTTGATAACAGAAGAAAACAGGAAAAAAAAAATCTATGCAGCATAATATATGAGAAGCTTGAAAACAAGACTGATTAATGTGCCAGCTTCAGAATATTGTTCCTGATACCAGGCACTGTACATTTCACAGTTACCATGTGGAGAGTTGTTGATTTGGCCTACTCAAAAATACATGGACATGACGAAGTGTTATTTTTTTATTTGCATTTCTGGTTTTCTGCGTGTAAGCAAAATCAGTTGTTTTCAGTAATAGATCATAGCAAAAGCCATTTTTCTTTCTCTGTGCTAGTTGGAATTTATGCACAGGAAAGATTTTAAAATTAATTTAAATTCTAATCAGTAGGAAGCAAGGAACTAACCTTGTTTTTTTTTAATTGAAATTTTGACATTATAAGCATTTGTTCAGCATTTTAGCATAATTATCAGAGTATTTTCCTCAATGTCTTTAGAGGGAGACTGCAGATTAGGGAAATCTGTATCATTTGGTGCTTATATAATGTTGTCGTAATAAAAGCAGAAATTAGACTAGTATTTGTAATCTAATTTATGACATTTGTTTCTCAGTGATATTTCTTGTGTTTAGAAATATGTATTACTATGCAACAGCTTGTAGCATGAAATAGAAAAGAAAGAGTATGCTATATAGTAATTAGTACTGGAAAGGTAATTTAGAACAAATTTGCTTTCCTTCCCGGGCATGCAATTCCAGAATTATTTAAGTGTGATTGTGCCAGACTGATATCAATATAAGTGACAGCTGAATTTGGTCCCCTAAAAGCAATGCATGTGTCATGCATTCCATTTTACCTCTGGGGAAGGGTCTTGAATTGTTTTTGTTCCAGTCCTTGTGGTTTTAGGGGAAGCACTGTAAGATGCTCTCTTTTTTTCAGTACAGTGACATATTAGATTAGCTGTTTTTTTCCAAAGAAGTTTATACTGCTGATGTATTTATTTTTATATTGATGACGGGGATTTATTTTTCCTACAAAGCTTACCAGTTGTGTAGAGACACACAAGAAGTGCCATCTAATCTTTCAGTAGTTCCAGTTATTTTCTAAAGCATACTACACCTTCCAGCAAAAATTTCTTACACTGTCTGTCATTAAATCAGTATTCTGAATGACAATAGACTGCACAACACAAACTGGAGTGAGCAATGAAAAGACACGTCCAATATCTAGGCTATGCCAAAGTGACCTTCTCTACTAAACATACATGCACAACTGCTGTCTCCTTTCTTGCCTGAAAGACTTTCATTTCCCATCACCATAAACATTCCAGTTACTTGGCTGAGTCTGTAAAGAAATAATGATTGATATTCTTCTTCCTCCCTGTTAAAATTCCTTCAGTAATTAGGAAGAAGGAATCAGAAAGGAGGAAAATCCAGTGGAAGAATATGAGGTGAACATTACTGAATGATCCTTTATTCAGTATGGTTTGTTATGGGGATAACTTCTCCAGACTTGGCCTGAGCCATTCTGATACAAGCCTCCTTTGGTGCTGTGTGTGTGTGTCTGTTCTGAGTATGTGCAACAGAGAAATTCCTTGCTCAAGTCACTCAAAAAATCTGTGTTGGCCTCTGTTGTTTTGACATCATGATTTCAAATGGCCTGTGTCCTTTTTGCTATTCCCTATATATGTTTGTCCCATTAGTCTTTTGCTACCTGAGAAGGGGCAGCCATTTGCTTCTGAGAATTTGGATAAATCTGAGAATTGGTTTTCTCTTTGTCAGACATCCTTTAGCTTCGTACAGTGGTATGGATTTTGCTGTAGAAAAGGGAGGAACAATTTTACTTGGTTTAGGTTTGTAATTATGAACAAGAGAATATTGTAAAAAGAATTAATGAAATAAGATGAACACTAAATTGAACAATCTGACTCTGTGTGTCACTAAGTTAAACTTCAGCAAGGCTGGGTTTTTGCTTTTGTTAATCATACTCTACTGAGCTAAACTTGAGTTGAACACTGTTTACTTACTGATGTGTTCAGACTGGCTATTATTCAATACGAGTAATCATGTTTGGTCTCTCTTGTGGATATGCTCCTCCAGAATCTCACTCTTCTTTTCAGCAGCAGTGGTGGTGAATATTTGGGAAGTCCCTTTGGGGAATTTCCTCTCTCATTTAGTTTTTCTGTTGTACTCTTCACACCCGCTCTCTGCTCCCAACTCTGCCATCTGCTATACTTTCTTTCCCCCTCCACTCTGTTCAGCTTTGGCTTCTTCACACCCCACTCCCACGTCCCTTTCTGTCTCTCTTCATCTGCCCACCACTCAATCTCTTCAATGTTTGGGTATGGAACTAAGCCCACAAGAACAGGTCAGAACTTTAAAGGGGGAGGGTGGTTACTTTGGGAGCATGCTTTGATTTGTTTGTTGCTGTTGATTTTTTTGGTTGTTTCTTTTTTAAAAGATTTATTTGGGCTTCTGTGAATCCAGCACACATCCACTGGACAAGCAGAAACCCAAATACTGATTTTTTTTTTGTAAGAAAACTATGTGAGGTGCATTGTCATCCAAGCTTGTCTGGTGAACAGCTTGCTGCAGCTCTACATTTATGTGCACATGTTATGCATGCATATTAGCAAGTCATCTTTGTCTTGAGAAGTAAAGATCTTGCACATAATTTGCCTAGTTACTTTACAGTTACAGTAGCTAGAATACATACTTCAGTCTTATGCAGCACAGAGAAAGATGTTCTGTTCCCCTCAATTTCCTTAAGTTTTATACAACACAATTTAACTAATTTACCCTGGTGTCCAGAGAGAATAGCAGTGTTTACAGCAAAAGTCTGACTTGGCTGTGAAATGTACTCTTGTATGAAAAAGGTGCAGCAAACACATTTAGCAGCTGTAGGGTGTTAGTCTAAGTAGTACAAGTTGGATTTCAGAGTGACTAAACAAATATTTGAACTGCAGTGTTAATTTTTGAATGCTGTTTAGCTGTAATGGGTTTATTTAGTTAATTTAAATGTCTTTATGTGTGTATTTTTCTTTTAAATTTCCCAGTGCTTGTTTTTAAAATGTACTTTGCTTGTGTTTTAGGATATAGAAGCAGCAGAAAAAAGGCTGCAAGAAAGAATGTATTTACTTCCACATCCTGATACTGTTAAGTTAGAAGTAAGTCCTAGAACTCTGTCTTTTCATTTGTTTCCATTTGCTGTTTACCAAATATTTTGCTTTTTTTTTTTTTTTTTTCCCTGAAGCATGTTCTTAAAGTGAAAATAATTGATTTTAAAATCCATTGACTGGTATAGCCAAAGGCCTGTGTACTGTGTAGCAAGCTGAACCTAAATTCTAGGACAAGGTCCCTAGATTCTGGAGCATTCTGGTGGAAATATTTAGCAGCTTTCAGATCTATACAAACTTCTATTTAATAATGAAGTCAAATATAAAAAATCAATACTGTGAGTATTAGAAGATTACTGTGTTTACTATGTCAGAGCTATTTAGTTTGTTTTATATGGTCATCCCATTCTCAGTTTACCACAAATTGTCATCTTTACATTTCAGGGTCAGCAGTTTATCAGCAAGAGCAGAGAAAATTTCACATCAATTATTTTAGAGTTATATGGAAGCTTATGAAAAGTACTGCAGCAGGAACACTCGGGGTTTTGTTTTTTTCCTTCTCAATTTGCAGTCCCTAAAACATTACTTCAAGATAAAAATTTGAGCAGGTTCCCATCTGTTTCTTGCCCCAGTGGTTTGTGTTTGTGCTGTGTGGTGGCTTGGTTCCCAGGGGCACAGGGCAGAGTGTCCCGTGCTGGTTTGGGTGCTGGGGCTCTGTCAGAGCAGGGCCAAGGGCCAGGTTTCAGCACTGTCAGCAGTGAAGAGAGGTGTATTGTACCTCAGCTTCACACCTGCTGGGCAAGTGTTGGCATGCTTAGGCTACTACTTAAAGGAGAGGCATCACTTCTTGTTCTGGTTACTGTTCAAAGTTTTCATCTGTCATTGCATTTTGTAAATAGCCTGCTGTGGCTGTGACAGGGTGCACACTGGGTATGCCCCTTCCGTGGCTTTTTTCTTATTTTTAGACATTTTTAGGCAAAAGGGTACATCCTTTCCTGGATACTTGTACATTTGGAATGATGCTAAGGAAGATGCCAACCTACTAATATTAAACATTAAACCTGTCTTGACTGTGTTGAGAAGTAGTTTTAGACTCTTCAGTGACTTCAGAGACACCTCTCGGGTAGTTTGGGTCACTTAGTCCATGGTAGGTGTGAAGCTGCTCCTCGAGTGAAGTCAGCACAAATCGGAGGCTGCAGAGCGATTGCTCGTGGCTGCAGAATGTCTGCACTCTGCAGCAGTGGTGAAATTTTGGAGAGAACAGAGTTACTATTTGAAGGAGAAGATCCTATTTCAGCCTTTTTTTTTTTTTTTTTACGCTTCTGGAGAAGAGTGCTATAAATAGTGGAAAAAGAAAACTTTCTTTCATGGTACAAAATTCTTGTGCGTGCTTTGTTCCAAAACACTTCTGAGCATATTTCACTCAGCCATGTATGTGTCTGTATTAATATACTCTGAAAGTTATGGCTATAATGGATCCCCAGCTTGCTGAGTCGGAGTAGTTTTGTGTGACAGCACATATGCTTGTCAAAAAAGATTCTTTGAGTAAATCTGTTGAAGAAAATATTTTTGTAAACCTGCAAGAGCCATAGTTATATCTGAGTTACATGTAAGGATCAAAATGATTAGCCAGGAATCTAATACTGTGCAGGGAGATCTTCAGTTTTATTCTGCACTTCTCCTTCATGATATACTTAAATAAAGAAAAAAGGCTCACTACATATGTATCATAACTGTTTTCTACTGCAAAATTCCGTTTTTCTGAATGGACATCAATGGCAGTAAATACTTACATATGTGGATGGATTAAAGTGCTATCTTAGCACAGTTCTTAGATCACATTATTTTGTGGGGAAAAAATGATACCTGGCACTTAAAATTTTCCTGAAAATCCTACAAACAGTTATCCTTAGCATACCAACACAGAAATGATGAATGAGTAAAAACACAGATAAATATGTTAAATTTATTACTCAGAGACACAGTGTAAAGCAAGAGGAAGGGTTAGATGATCCACAGTGATTCTCCTAGACCACTCACTCAGTATACATCACCTTTTTATTATTATTTTAATTTGTGATCCAAATACTGGATATGATTACTTCATCATTGAATTATCAAGTCTAAAATTTTTCTCAAATATTTTGAACTATAGTTGTGTCTAGTACTGTAAACTTTTCTAGAATAATCAATTTACATTGGTAAAGAGGAAGCCTTAATTTCTAACTTTTTATCCACTGCAAAATGAAATTCCAGTAACATACGTACTTAAATATAAAAGCTGCTTTTGGAAAAGTATATAATCATAGAAAATAGTTTATTAAAGGTACTGTAAGGTCTAAACTGATGTGTTGCTTACCACAAGAGGGCACATTCGGTCACTTCACAGTTTCTCCTGCAGAATGAAATATTTCCAAGCTGATATTTTGTATCATACAAGAGATTTAAAATTTCATATGTTAAGTACATTGTTCTTTTCTGAATTGCTTTACTCTTAAAGTAAAACTTAATAATGCATTGCACTTCTATGTTATTTTAACCTGGCTGACACAGATTTTGAAATTAAGTTTATTTTTTCTTATATCTTTCTCAGACTCACTATTGGGCATCAATAAAAGAATCTCTTCCCAAATGGGAAGAGTTTCTTTTAGGAAGAGCAGAAGTTCCTATTGGCTTTAAGAAAATGAAAGCTACAAAGCAGAGCATAAACTACCCTGAAGAAGATTCACAAAAATAAACATTTTAGTTTCATTTTGTTTTGTAATTTATCACTTAAGCAGAGAAGATCATCCAGATCGGGCAACAGAATATCATGCCATTAAACTGAAATGTAAATAATTTAAATGAGAATTAATTATATGGGATCATTTCATTCCATTGTTGCATTGTGTACGATTCCTTATTTTCATTCTGTACTAGAGAAGCAATCCTCAAGTGGGCTTTTAGGATCAAGAATGAGAAACATTGGTGTATAAATTTCCACCAAGGCAATTGGGTTTTCAATGTGAGAAGAGTTTTATGTTATTTTTAATCCTCTGCTTCTACATATAAGTGCGATAAGTAAAGACAGATTCTTTCATTATCCTTCTTCACTTCAGTCATCTGTGCTGCATGCCTGCTCCTGGATGAGGCAGAAAGGAAGAATTTACTGTTAGCAGGAAAGGCAGACTGCATCAGAGTAGCCTTGGTTTAGCACCAGGAACCTGTGCAAGAGCCTTCATGAGAGCAGTTGTAGAAGAAGCAAACTTGAATTTCTGCATCTTGTTTTCCCTGGGTTTTTTTTTTGTCATTGCCACTTTCATCACTCATACACCTCACTCCAGACAGCTTTTCCCAACCTCCTTCTGCCTACATTGTACTTGTTGTCTAACGGGTGGGCAAACAAATCTCTAGGGCTTTTTGCTACTTCTAGGCTGCTCCTAATTCTATTTTCTTTCTGCTGATAAAATCTACAAGTGAGAACTTTTTCTGAGGCATGAAAAGTTTGAAAGAAGCAAACTGAAAGGTAACTGGCAGTGGCTTTCCAAGAACAAAGTGTATACAGAAGTTGAAGATATAATATTTTCATTTTCAGCCATTGAACAGCTTCCCAGGTGCCTCCTCTGTATCAGTGAGTTTTAATTGTACTGAGCTAACCTGGTATGAAAAATTCACTGGTACAGAACTTCTAAAAGGAGTGTCAGTTCAGTGGAAGATCCTTTCTTCCACTGTGTGTAACATGGCCTGCAGAAAATTTCTTTCCTAAGCAAAATAAGCTGATAAAATATTAATTTCTTTTATTGTTAAGAACTTGGACTTGAGTCGGTGCACTGTTAAAAGTTAATCTCTTGCAATATCATCATTCCACGCACAACCTGGAAGTCGTAGGGGAAAAAAAGTACCTCTGCCAGTGTCTGAGGATATGAAAATGTAATTATTGCAAATATTATTAGTCTACTAGTTATCTGAGCTATGCATCTTCATACATAGAGAGAGACTCCACTATTCAAAAAACATTATATCCCTATGCAGCATGAGGACTCACTGACACAATAAAATCAAAACTTTAGGTGCAATATTAAATTGTTGTATATTTTCCACAGGATTATTAGGAGTTCGTTTTAAACTTTTTCTATTGAAGTGTCCATTAAACTGATAACTTTTTACAGAAACTGCCATCTTAGAATTATCCTGTTGAGTGGGTGTTGGTGTTTGTAACAATAACGTTGTTTTCATAATATGTGATGGCAGATTAGCACGCTTCTCTGCAGTGTTGTTAACAGTTGTAATTAAGGAATAAACAGTAAAGGGTGTCAGTCCGATGACAATTTCATCTATAGTGTCACAATACAAAATGTCACAAAATATTAGAACTGTTATATAACTACAAAAATATCAAATTAGGCTTTCATCTTACAAGCTGAGAGCTTAAAAAAAACTTGGCATAGAGACCATTGCAATTTTATACCTACTCAGTGTTCTGTCACAAAGACAACTTGGTAATATTTTCTTCTGTAAACTCACAATGTGATTCTCAATCTGATTTAGTGGGAATGTGTATGGATCTTACAGTTGTAGAGCTCACATTTAAAAAAGCAAATAACTGGAACCATTTGAGCACAGAAGAAGGGAAAACCTATTATATATGATACTCAGATTGAAGGGATGGATGAGCAGTTAATTACTAACAAAGAATGGGACTCGTCCTGTTCTTTGCATCTAAAGGGAAATCAACAAAAATCTGCGCCCCTAAGTACTTTACACATGCAAATAATCTGAGTCTTTATCTCTTCTGACTGCCTTACCACTGGGACACAATGCAGGTTCTCACTCTCTCCTTGCCCTGGTGCTTTCCCCTGGAAGGAGATCTGGGTGTGTGGACATCCATGGGTGAGAATTTGGCAATGTGCATGAAAGGCACTTGCAAGCAGGGTTAAGGTGGTTACCCTGCTGCAGTTAGGTGCTCACATAGCATGCCTGAGAGTAAAATAAAATTATCTGCAAAGAAGAAATGTAATTTTATTTCCTGCAGCATAACTGTAGAAGCAATAGGACAACTAGTTCAAGGAAAA